TTTTATGCAAGAAACAACACACTTTATAAATGTATTAAGGATGTTACTGTGTATTTGAGGAACTTTAAGACTATATGAGGAAAGTAATAAAGCAGGCTTCTCAATACATTTTCAACATGACTGTATAATCTGATGTGGAATGAAAGTGCTAGTTACTTGCCACTTTAAAATTACTAATATGTATGTCTATTATTGACCCCCAAATTTTCATAGATTAGTCAATTAATAGCAATGTATTTTCTGTCTTCTGCGTTATTTTTTAGGGAGAATTAGCAGAAAATTATGGTATAGTATTCAATTTTATAAAAAATTATTAACTTTATTCAATTACTGCTATTAATACTTTGACTTCCATTGTCCCTGAAATGTAATATGAAATAAACAAGAGTTATCACCCCAATGTTTTGAGGACCCGTATTTTAACATAGTCTCTAACTTTAAAAAAACATCATAAAATAATGGCATACTAAAAACATAGCTAAGTTATACAATGGGAATACAGTTAAGGCATAAAAGGCTTTCTTTGATCTACATCAGGAGCTACTTCATTGAAATATGAAATTTCTCAGGCTAAAACTTGCATAGCCAAAAAATGATAATGAAATTATACCATATTTACAATTAATTATGCTTAGCAGAAATGTTCTCAGAAAAGTGCATGAACTTTTTTCAAGTTTACTATGAAACCTTTTGTATCTTTTCCAAAGACTAACTGGGGGATGACTTTATTAATTATTTGAAAGTCACACAGCTGATGTCAATTCCAAAGCTCATTGTTTCAGCTTTTCTTTAACTGTTTTTTAAAAATCTAGTTACATTTTTTTTTTTCTAATTGAAATGTCAGAAAGTCTTTAAGCAAGTTCATTAGACTTTCAGAATTTCCTCTATGGTCATAACAGTCAGGCAAAACTGACCTCACATCACATAAAGTAACATTAAGTTTGGAATATAGTTACAAAGCTTTTGGAACATTTGTAGAATAGAAGACTTCATAAGAAACCTCCAGTCCAGAGTTAATGTAAAAGCAATTTCTGAAATTCAAGTAGTTTGTCTTATTTATTAATTATTTATTATTTTGAATCAGTATAGAAGTCATACTGGTTGGGATTATTTATTTAGCAATCACAAGCAGCCTCAAAATAGGTTTTTCAGTAAAATAATTGTCTTAAGTGAAACTGCCTTTCTGTAAGAACTGTTACATGGGGCAGAATCCCGTTATGACTGAAGCAGGGTTGTGCTTTACAGAGAGCTGAGATGTCCTGACAGAGCAGTCGCCACCCTGCCTCCATGGGCTGTACTTCTGTAGAATGATAATTGGTTTCTTGGAAGCGAGGAATTAATTGCAGATAAAGCCTGTGTGTTTCTTCACAACAAAACTGCCTATCCATTAGTAAATCAATGAAAATTTTGCTGTACTGAAACCAGAGTGCAGTTAAGAAAACATTCTCAGTCCTTACTTTCATGTGTTTCTAATTTTCTTTTAGAATTTCTGTTTGCATTTGTGCAAGTGTGCGTGCTTTTCTTTAGTCCTAGCTGAAGGGTGAGTTTTGGAGCAAAGCCCAAGGAAAAACCTTTTGGCTATTTTTTTTAAATTAAAAGCATATTTTAAGTGTTTTATGTAATTTGTTAAATAAATTGTTTGAAAATATTGCTATATAATACCACTATTGAAAACAAAATATTCCTTTATACATTATACTGCAGGGTTTAGGCAAGTGATTCATGGTTCAGACTCAGTGCAGAAAAAAAGCCAGGTATTCTTGAGTACTGATGCTACCACTGTACGTTTTTTTCTGATGGGAAAATTGCCCAAGTAAACTCACATTGCTTTAGTTTCCCCATCTGTATAATGTGAATAATACCTACCATCCTACAGGAATGTGTAGAATTTAATATTTATGCATCACTTTGAAGTTCATCTCTAAATCAGTTCTGTAACCCCAACTCCAAAACGTATGGTTGGTAGAAGACTGTGAGACACACCAATATTTTCTGGAAGGACTGTCTTTTTCTCTACCTATAAATACTGTGTTTGAGCTGGATGTGTTGTCTTCCCATATCATCAAGCCTGATGGAGCAGTAGGGTATAATGTGATGACTAACAGAGTTCTCATGAGAACAGGGTAGACACTGATGTACAATGAGAGAGAAAAACTGAAGCATTCTCAAGGCACTCTCTGCTTCGCTGAGAATGTTAAAAAGAAACCATGACCCGTGAGTTAAGTCCAGCAAAAAAATACTTTCTTCATCTGTACAACATCGAGGTTGCCAGGCAGCTCAAAATTCACTTCTGCAAAGCTCAGATGTGGAAGTCCCCCAGAAAAAGTGGAATTCTGGCTGCCTGCAGAGTTTGCCCACCTTGGGAACAAATTTGAAGAAAGGAAGGTGACTTTTTTTGAGAGGAGTCCCTTCCGTTGTGTGTACAACCAGGGAGAAATGTCCTGGCTGACAATCCTAACAGCAGCTTTCCAACTTATCACCAAGGAAATGAGCTTTTTCCCAAGTAGGTCTGCTTGCAGCAACTTTATTACATATATCTAGACAACATTATTTCTTCATTGTCAAATTTTCTCAGCTGCAATGCTTGGTAGCAGGGATGCAATTTCTGAACTGTTAATTGCATAAATACATTCTAGGAAAAGAGCAGTCCTGCAGCTTTTTGATACTTGTAATTACTTCTTTCCTACAGTTTCAGAGAAGCAAATGTCATCCTGGAGAAAATGAACATCTAATTACTTTGTAGGGAGCACCTCTCACTGTTGTATCTCAAGTGTAGCTTTCACAGTGTTCAAAAATCTTACTATTATTATTAAATAATTGTCCAGGATCCTGATGAAATGAGAAGTCTTCAATTTACAGATGAGGAGCTGGATCTCAAGAATAAAATCCTTAATACAACAAATGGCTCAAGCTTGTTATTGATCCCCAGTATGCTAAGCTGGCCCATTGATATGTGCCTGAAGACAGATGCCTTTTTGGCCAGTCAAGGATATGGTGATTTCTCCAAATTTTCCATTTATTAAAATGCTACACTTCCTTTTCAGTCTTTTACTGAAACATACTTACATTACATATCTTTTACTGCTGGAGTTTTGGAAGCTGGAAAAAAAGTGCAAACACATTGTAAAGGAACAGTTATATATATTTTCCCCTGGAATAATGTGATAGCAACTTTCCTGCACTCTTTAAAACAAATGGAAAAGCAGAGAGAAACTGGAAAAAGCTTCTGTGGAAAGGTTGGTGTTGCCTGTGTGTTTGGAGGATAATTCATTGTCACTATTGTAGAGCTGAAAACCCATTGCATGACTTGCTATGAAGCAACTGACACAAGTTGTAGTGTACACTAGAATTAATTGGTTGTATTTTGAGCCAATATTCAGGCTGTAAATATATGAAAGTACTGAAAAATACACAGATCACACAAAACATGAGTTGGAAAAGATTCACTACTCAAATTTCAGTTTTTGCAAAATACTGTCTTATGGCATTTTTTGGATACTATATGCACTGAATGGAAATCCAGGCCATGCTGGAGGCAAAGGCAATGTATTTTTGGCAGGACCTGGATTTTATCCAATATATACTATATTTCAGTATAGAATGATCAATATTACAAGTTAATTACCTAAATTAGACTGACCATGACTCATGTCTCCTAAACAATAAATTATTTAGATGGTATGCTGGTAAAAAGATCAAGGTGCTCTACTATGGTGGATGTGTTTTCTTCTGTTCTAATAACCAGAACCTGTAAGCCATGAAAAGACTCAGAACAGATAATAAATGTAAAGCCAGGAATTAAAAAGTGAACAAATATATAATACACTATACCTGACCTAATTTATTTTAAAAATCCAAATAACAACATAAAACCTGTCTGAAACATGTAACTTACCAGCGGGTAGCTTCACTGGCTTTTTTGATGTATTTGTTGAATAGAGTATTTGCTAACAGATTTTCTCCACTGTTATTACTATCTACAGGACATCAATACTCTTGTATTATGCTCAGAAGATAATTACTGCAATGAGGTGATGTGTGTTTGCTCAGGTAACAAAGTAGAATACGAAGGGATAGATCTGATTTTCAGGTGGTAGTATAATGTAAATAGTATAATGTAAAATGGTATGACGAGTTCCTTGCTTTCAAAGAGAATGAAATAAATGAACTGTAAGTTCATTGTCCCACACTGGGACACAATCCCCACACACCTTTGTTATGTATCCATGCCCTTCACATAAAAACGTCCTAAACAAACCCGTATTAGCTATAGCCAACTCTCGCCAGTTTAAAAATTGAGAATGGTTCCTTTAAACTAGAACTTTATGAGACTTTTCCTTCTTGTACTTCGTACGGAAAAAAATCGCAGGCAGAGGTGCGCTGCTGCCTTCACCAAACCGCGTTGTCCCGCAGGGACGATGAAGCCACGCCGCGTTCCGCAGCCCTCCCCAGGCTCCGCGCTGGCCCCGGAGCTGCTGCCGGGGCGAGGCACCGGGCCGGGGCTGCGCTCCCCGACCGGCTCCGCAGCGCGGCCGCGCTTCCCGCGCTCGCGGCGCGCCCGGGGCGTGCGCTGAGGCAGCCGCGGCCCGGCCCGCCCCCGCCCCGGCCCCCGCTCGCAGGGCGCGCACGGCGATGGCGCTGGACCGGGTCCAGCCGCGCGGGACGGCGCCGCTGCTCCGCCGTGCGGAGTCGCGGCGCTGGGGCGCTTGGCCGACGGCGCCCGTTTGCGGGAGGTAGGAGGAAGCTCTTTCGCGGGCGGCTCCAGCTGGCAGCTCGCAGCGGCGGTCGGGACCCGGGGCGCGCTCTCCGGCTCCGGGAGTCCCCTCAGCGGGAGCCGCCTGGCCCCTCAGGAGCAGCCGCGCGCACGCGGGGCCGGGGCCAGCGGTTCCCGCTGCCGCACTTGCGGAGTGCTCCACCGTGCCTGTGGGAGCGCGGGGCTGCCCAGAGCAGGACAAGGAGGAGCTACCGCATCCCATCTGCCTGGCGTGCAGGGGATGATCCTAGCGACCGTCCCGAGGGCAGCCATCCGGTGGGAGAAACCCGCTCTCCACCACCGGAGAGGAGCGGTCGGTCCCGGGCCAACCTTCCCGTGCGGCCCCGCGCCCTCTGTCCACGGCTCGACTGAGTCGCCGGCGCTGCCCCGCGGCCGCCCCGCGGCCCCTCCCCAGCTCTCCCCGTCCCTCCCGGGCCCTGCGGGGCGGTACGCGCCCGCAGCCCCCGCCCCCGGCCCGCCGGGAAAGGCGCCTCGCTCCCTCCGCCGCCCCGGGCAGCGGCGGCCGTGGAGCCCTGGCGAGGCGGGGGCGGCCCCGTCCCGCAGAGCGCTCCGCCGCCGCAGCCCCGCCGCCGCTGGAGTCACCGCCGTCCCGAGGAGGAGGACGAGATACCGGGGGGACGCTGAAAGGTGCGTCCCCTGCACACCCCCGCCCGCTCTCACGGGCTCTTCCCCTGACTCCCGAGCGTGGTTGGCTCCCCTCTGGGGGCTCTCTGGGGCCGGGTCCCGGCCCCCACGGCTCTCCTGGCCCCGGGGGGTTGCCGAGAGCTGCCCGCCCGCCGCGGCCGTGCCCGGGGGCGGGCGGGGGCTCCGCTTTCGGCCATGTTCCGCAGCCCCCGCTGCCCGCGCCCTCCCCGCCTGACCTTCGCCTTACGGGCTCTCCCTCTTCCTCTGGCAGGGTTCAAGAAAACCCCAAATGCCAATGAAAATCCCACATGCTAGAAAATGTTCTAACTTCATCCCTCGCTTTCTCTCTTCCACTGCGATTGTACAATTGTAATTTTTACGTTAAAGTCTGGCAAAATGTAGCCCCAGATTGGTGCAGCGCACCGGAGATGTGGCGCTGGAAGGAGCCTGTGGCTGTAAGCGGCAGGGGTGCTGTCTCTCTCCCCTTCTTAGTGAGTCTCTGCTCTTTGGGGGTGCTGCAGGCCCTGACACCCAGGCGTGAAGGGGCAATGCATTCCTCCCAGCTCCAGACTTCTCTTTGCCCCACTAGCTGAAGTGTTGTTGAGTTAGAAAGACTCAAAGTCTGCAAACACTTACAGAAGTAGTTTAAGTGAAGTGTTTGTAGGATCAGGACCAAAGTGTCTAGGTGTGATGCTTGTCTGTTCTGCTGCACCCTCTTGGGATGCCACCAGCACAGGTGATAAAGGGAAGAGCCTGTACAGGTGACTGTGGACTGGGCTTCTTCTGATAAGGGAAATGAAAGAGCTGGATTAGGAGTGGTAGAGAAATGCCTGAAGGATCAGCTGTACTTCAAGGAACAGTAAAATGTTTTGTTTCATAGTGAGGCATTTGTGTAAGGAGCAGAATTTGCCTTCTTGTTGTATTTATTATGCTAAAAGTTTGATAAAAAGGTTTTCCAAATATTTCCATCCTCTACGTTTGTATAACAAAAGTTTGCTAAATATTTCCATCCTTTATGTTTGTATATTTGAAAGATCAGAGAACCTGCCAGTTGCGAAGTAGCCTCTTAGTAATCTTTGCGCTGTTATGTAGTTTAAGAAGTCATGTTTTTCCAGCTACAATAATCATCTTTGATCTGTGCTATCACAGCCCTTAAAAAGTCAATGGCAAACAACCAATGTTTGTGATCATTACAAAAGCACCACAACAAATACGTGAGCAGTGAAACATACAAGGTGAAACCAGAAACAGACACTGTTTTGTGTAGTAGGAAGTGCTCAAGAGAAAATCTCAAGACATAATGGACATGTATGCCCATCTGCATAAATTTGCAGAGGATTTCTAAAAGTCTTGCTTTCTTAGTCATCTAAATAGAACTCATTCTTGCCATATTGAGGTAGTAATCTCAGATACTATAATGAGTTCATTTGTGTTTTCATACATGGTAAAAAGTTTGTTATTAAGACTTTGTGACTGTAGGTGAGGCAGTGCAGTTCCTGTCCTCTCAGTTAACATGAATTTAATGTGATGCATTTTATGCGATAAAAGTGTGATGTTCACACCAGGGTTCCAAGACATGAAGAAGGAAAAGAAATACCACAAGGTAAAACTTTCAGATCAAGAAACATGCAAACCCTACTGCAAAATAAAGAATTTCACAAAACTGTGTTAACTGGAGATCACAGAGCAAGTTCATGGAGATGATAAGGTGATTTGGGAGATTTGTAATATGACAAAAAGAAATTCTCTGTATTTAGGTTATCCTAAAGAATGTAATGAAACAATTTGAGCACTGTTTGTAAGTATCCATAGAAGTATTTCTTTTATCGAAGGGCTGTTTTATTTAAGAGAAATATGGATGTTAAGATCTACTAGTGACTAGAACCTGCATGGAAATTCAATATAGGAGCAAGGTGCATATTGAAAAGTGACAGCTGTGATTGTTCATGAAAGATTGTAGATTTATAACCACTGGAAACATTTTGCTTGAAGTTAGCAGCTCTTCCTTCTTTTTTGGAGGAAAGCAGCTATAATTTAGCAATGGTTCTTGGATTTGAAATGAGAATTAGTTATAGGAAAACTTCAGTTATTAAGGAGGCAAAAAGTAATTAATCTATAATTTCATTAGAAGGCCTAGCATAGGGATTTTTTTATTAAACATTAAACTAAGGGGTTTTTTTAGTGACCATCTTAATTTATGTGTGTATTTACAAGAGCATTTCTTTAGGAGTGTTTTGTTTTAAAACGCTGATGACCACACTTCAGAACATGGGTTGTCATTTTGTTTCCTGTTTCTACAGCACTTACTACAAAACAGGTTTTGGGTCATGACTGACTCTTAAATTTTATAAGTGACAATTATATGTGTTATTAGAAATAATTCACTTCTTTTTTTTTGTTTTATATACTTCTTGAAAATACCAGTAACTGAAAGGTTGGAACGATCATGCAGCTCCAGTGTGGACAGACTTACTCTCATGCCTGTTCACAGTGCAGCCATTGATGGTTTCATTGAGCAATGGCTATCATTTGATTGTGCAGACAGCAGGTTAACAGCTGTCTGTACCTTTAATATGCAGTCTGATTCATTTGTAAGTAACACTTTTCATCATGTCTCTGTTTTAGAAAGCTGTTGGCATGCTAGCATTAAATCCATGTTTTCCATAATTTTGTCCCTTTCTGAGCCTTCTTAATCATTTAAAAGAGGTGTTGCTCATGTACTTGAAGACCTACATGACAGTACGTATTATGTGAGAGCAGTCCAGCTTACTCTGCATACTGCTTTATTTGTCTTGGCAAACCTATATATGTATATATATCTGCTTGTGGGTAGGGTTTTCCATAGTCATGGACCTGCCAGATATTGGTCATATTTCACTCCTTGATTTTTTTTGAGCAAAACATCTATCTGCTGAAACAAGACTTGTGTTTAAGAGCTGAGGATAAAGTGCTGACGGACTTTCTATGAATTTCTTATATTGGGAGGTCTCTAATATTTTTATTCCGTTTCAAGGCACAGAATTTTGGTTTTACTTGAAGCAAAGAAGTTAATTTGTAAGTATGCCAATGTGGGATCGAAGTCTGGCCCTCTGGTTTCGCATACTCTGTCATGCTGACATCTCTGTGCAAGACATAATTAATGTCACTGATTTTAAACTAGGCCATCCACAATACTTTCTTCTTAACTGCCCAGTCATTCATAAATAATCCAACATGTTCAAGCAAGATCTTGATGTGGCAGCACTTACTGAAACCTGGTAACAAGAGCTGAGAGAAACGAGCTCAACTCCCCAGCAGAATTATCCTTCTTCCAGGGCCCGCTACATTGCTCCAGTTTATCAAGTGTCAGTGATGGTCCCACAGGTAATACCAGCTCTTTCTGTAAATGATTTAGAGCAGCAGGGACACCAGCCTTGTGGAGTATGTGACATGCCCCAGGAGCTGCCTCCTGCATTCTTTACATCTGAAACTTGTGTGCACTTGGCTTAGCGTTGGGGGTAGAGACAGTGCAGGCTGGAGTCCTTTACAAGGAAGTATTCTGTGGGCCCGTGCAGATACGGTGACATTTTACAGTAGTATGAGGCATATCATAGTGGTTTAAATAGGCTGTCCACTGTGGGATACTTTTTATTCTACATTGCTATCAGTAAGTAATATTTAATAACTTGTTACAGCCTTTTCAGTGGTGCCTCCTCATTAAAAAAAAAATTGAGTATACTATTGTATTTGTCAGTTGTAACATTTCATAAGTAGTTAAAAAATTAAATGCTCATGCATTTTCAGTGTTCTTTATGTTACTTATTTCGGTGTTTTAAATGAGACACAAAAATGTAGAAACACTGAGAGCAAAGTTGAAGCTACCATTTGAAAATACTTTTGGGGTAATGGTTTTGTTCTGTTAGTATGCACAAGTGCTGCATAACTTGCATCTAATAATAGTGTGTTTTCTTAAACAGATGACTCTCCAGTTGCGTTGACCTTGCCTTGTGTAGTAGGACCTTGCTGTCTGCTGTTTCAGACAATGCTCTGATGTGAGATCTCTCCTCCCACAGTATTTTTCTCTGTCTGTGCTACAGCATACAGCAAGAATGCTGCTGCAGTGATCTTTGGTATTTGAGGTTTTTGTTACACTGCATCTTCTTTCAAACATTTTCATAATGCATTCCTTTACTCCAAGTACAAAACTCTGTTGCTTGGATTAGGTTAATTTCTTTCTGTAGTGGTACAAATACCTTTCAGCAGTGTTTTGGGGAAAACCAACTTGGTTTCCCTTTGGAATTTACCAAGATAAAAAGGGATCATACCAGACCAGCTACTGCTTTGTGCACTACAAACAAAAAGTTCACATCAAAGAACAACCTGTAGATTTCTTCTCAAGAAACTTTCTTGATGTGAATGTCTCCTTTTTAATTCCTTTAGGGTTTTGAATTTTTAGCTATGTACCAAGTTGCGAGGGAAAAAGAAAACCCATGCTGTAATATCCGGGCTGGTTTGAATTTTGAAGATGGTATTCTGCTTCTATTCTAATTCTATGTAATTTTCATACTCCGACATTTTTCAAAGATGTATTTTCAACCAGTTAGCTATTGTTCAATGTCGACAAGTATGTTAAAATGCATTTATATCAAATTGTTGCCCACTGGTGGGCAATTTCTAATAATTTGTTAGTATTTTTCTAACTTTTTCTAGAAAGTCACACTTCCAGTGACTTCCAAGTGTGTCACATGTTCTGTGAGTACATGCATTGTTTCTACTGAAAGCAGAGGGGAAATAACCTCACTGCAGTTATTTCTTGTGAAAGCTTTTAAGTTTCTCATCACTCAGTATGCACCCATTTTGGTTCAGCAGATTTATGGGAAGCAGTAAACATAGAGAATATCTCTGCAAGGCTGGAAGCCCGTGGATTTCTGGCTGCAGGAGGGGCTGGCAAACAGGCTGAGTCCTTGCTTGGTTCTGGAGTTCGCATTCACTCCTTAGCTGTGCCACAGCCTATGGTTTTGTAACATATTCAGTGGCAGTGGTGTCAAAGAAGACCAGGCAGATAATACTTCTTGAAATCTTTTCTGTTATGGTACTTCCGCATTTTTTAGGTGAAGAATATTTCTTAATATGTCTCCTTTAGAGCCCTTGAAGATTTTCAGTGTAGCATGAATAGTCTCTTGTTTGCATTTTTACCTACAAACAACATACAGAAAGGAAAGAATCTTGCATAATTACCTTTGTTTTGTTATGATTGCACCTTTTTTGTGCTTTTCTTGATATTCAATTTATGGCATAGACCACAAAAATAGAAACAATAAAATCAGACAGTTGGATGCCTGCTGGAAATATTTTTGTCTTAAGAGCCACCCAGAATGTTGCTGTCATTATTTGACTATTCATGTCTTCTCATTCTGTGCTTTTATTCAGAAAAGTATAAGCAAGAAGTTCAACTTCAGCGGTGGTGTTCACTCAGTAGACTTAGAAATGAAATAGGGAGAAACAACAACATAAAAATATATAGTTTCATATGTGTGTCATTTACTACAACTTCCTTGACAATACCACTTAGAGGCATTGCTTAAATCATTAGCCTGGGTAATTTAGGTACAATTATAGGGTTTTTTAATTTTGGGTTTTTTTTGTTGGATGGATTTAGAAAGTAGCTATCAGTATTCCATCATCTCGTGAAATTATATTAGCTTAGGCCAAGTCTGTTGGGTGCTGTTGTTTTTATTGTGGTACTTGTTATGCTTTTGTCCCCCTAGTTAAAACAGATTTCAGAGACTGTAGGACTGCAATACGTGGTTAGAGTAACTTGCAGTATGAAACAGAATTGTTTATTAATTCTTTAATTTTTTTTAGATATGTCAGGTTGAAGAAGGTACTTTTATCTACCTAAGCCAAACTAGCCTTCTTGCTACCTAAGCAGAAAACATTTGTAGATGAAAGTCTAAAGCTGACTATTTCTCATTTCCCATTCTCACCTAACTTTTCTAAAAGAAAATAAAAGTTAAATGTATACGTATTACCCTGGTGTAGGAATGCTGTGATCATTAAAAATCTAGCTTTAGCAGCTAGTTTAATTGTGGAGGAAGAGTATAATATTAATACTGTTCATTCTTGTTTGTGTTAAGCAGATATTGTCAACTACCAATCTATTTGTGCAGATTAAATTTGTTCATATATAGTTATGAAAACATTTTGGATTTGCAATAAAGAAAGAATATTCTTGTAAAAAGTTAGTTTAGGCCCGTGACTAAGAAGGCATTTACGAGTCTCTTAAATTATTCAATGCCTTTTTTTTGTTCTTAGTGGTCAGCTGAATTTTTTTCTTGTTCCAGCAAATTCTGAGCTATGGCAAATGTTTTTTGCTGGATCCCTGTGTCACTCACTATGAACACTTCTTGGAAGAATGTTTTGCTTGCTCTGGTTATGTTCCTGCAGCAAGTTCTGGAACTCTGTCTTAAAACTTCTTATTTCTTTGTAGTAGGAGATGTAAGGACTTCAGGGATTATTGGAGTTTACACAACAAGGGATCAGGGAAAATAGAGTCTTGTTTAAAATTGTGTAGTTTCATTTGTATAAAGCAATATGAATACCTTGAAAGTCAGCAACATTTTGGATTTTAAATGGTCCTTCTGCTTTACCAAGACGAGGAAATACTAAAATTTTAAATTAACTTTGGGGAAAATAATGGGGTAATTTATGATATTAATAAATGGATAATATCTACAATTGAGATGTATTTTCACTGTTTTGTCTTGTCATTCTGATCCATTCTGGGGACATACCAGCAAACTGATTTTATTATGAAAAATGTGTTGTCAGCACCATTTACAGCATCAAATTCCAAAATCTCATTTCCCTTCACGGAACCTTCCTTTTTGTCTTAGAATTATTAAATGATTATTGTTCTCATTTGCATTTTGTTTTTATAAATAAAGGTTCTGTTTTTAAGGTTCAGATTATGAATAGTTATATTACTAGTACAACTAGTAATTATATAATAGTACAACTAGGGCTTCTGGAAAAACAGTGCCTCTCTGAGTACATGACTGTAAGAATTGGCAATTCTGGGAATCCCCTTCAGAAATTAATTCTGTATACTTTGTGAACTGTGATTCTAGATTTGCAAGCCAGGTTCAGTAGTGGTGTGTAGAAATAAACAGTTCCCTAGACAGCAGGCTATAAAACAGGTCAGTGTTAAAATATGCAGTAACATCTTTCAAATGTCTGTTTAGTATTAGACTACTATGCCTGCCTGAATTCTCTTTCAGGATTCAGATAATAACATTTGTTTGGAGTTTTGTTACCTGATAGGTGTAGCAATGTTAGAGATTCACAGACAGTAATGAGTTTTCTGGAGATCTTCACTTCCATCCTTCCAGAAGAGGCAAGTTTTTGTATTCTCTTAAAATTTGTGAATATCATTCTACTTTGCCCAAAGCTTAACCTCATGTTGATGTCATCCCCTCATTTTGTTACACATACTCTTTA